AGCGATATACATCTGTGTCTAAGACAAGTAAACAAGAATAAGCTGTACAGCCACTTGCCAGCGTCTTATCTTTGCATCCTACGCCAGTGGGGATTTCGCAGCTGTGATGCGGCCACCGTGGCAATAGCCAAGCAATTTACTAATAACAATAACAAAAAGAAAAGGTGCGCCTGGCTGAAATCTAGCTGAAATTTCCAAGCCGTGGGTGGGCCGTGGCGACAGTCTGGAACCGAGTTTTGTATGTATCTATGCAAGCAAGGATCACGCATCAACGCCAGGAACAAGAGCACTAGCAATAATATAATAACCTGGAAATTGAGGTGCCAAACAAGAAACATACTACTATACTACTAGTACATCTACATGCGTGATGCCGGTCGTTCATCCCAAGAGATTGAAAAGAAACCCTAATCAAACCGTCGGCGCGCGCAGGACGAGATGCGGTGTCGAATCCAAAGAGACGGTTGAAATTGGACAAGGGACCGGTGAAAAACATCAAGAAAGAATTGTCATGCTGTAATAAAGATAAATATCCCCATCCCCGCCACGAAGCAAAGAGAGCGGCTTGCCCAAATCACTAACAAAATCGATCCCCTCCTCCAAGAAAACCCTGGCCTGGCCAACGCCGGGAGGGGGGGAATGCCCAAGAAACACGCACGCCCGGTCGATTGACTGCAGGAAACCTAAAGAGGCGGCCTAGCTCGATCGAAACCGCCGCCGCCGCGGCCGGCCGTGAGGAGATGGGATTGAGGGGGGCTAGGTCGAGCGGGAAACGAACCTCGCGGGAGAGGCTGCTGCGCGCTGACGAGTTCGGCTGGCTGGATTGGTTCGTCGCCGGCCGTCTGCCCTGCTGCCGCTTGGATGGGTTGGCTTCTTCTTCTTCTTCTTATTCCTCCTCCCCCCACTTATTCCCCCCACTTATTAGGAACGACATCCTCTAACATCACAAAGGGATGTTAGGGAAGCTACGGTACCCTGACATCCCTTCTTTACATCCATATGATTAAGCCTAAAATGATTTGAATTACTTTACAAATCACAAATCTACTTTATACATTTACAATAATTACATATAAACAAAATTATGGTGTAATAAAATTAATTTCGATTTTTATTTTTTATGAACAGTAATTGCGCATATTATTTTTGCTACAGTGTCCATGACATCTCTTCTTTGTTTTGCACTGAGATTGCACTCTAGCTTCGTGACATCTCTTCATGATGTTAGAGGATCCGTTCCGCACTTATTATGGCCCAGTTCTTTTCAGGCAAGATTCTACAGAATTAGGATTCTGAAAAATTCTCCCAGAATCTGTTGTCGAGTTCTTTTCAGAGATTGTAGTTTGAGATTCTAGAAGCTGTTGTGTGTTGAATTGTCTGTACTACCCTTAGACCGAATTTGTTTGATGAAATGTTAACAAACTCAAACATCAATCCATCTACCTATTTTATCTATCAACAATAGCTAGCATCAATTCAAGCATTATTCAAGCATGAAGAAATAGAGAGATGCAAAAAGAAGGGCTCACCGTGAGCGTCGGCGTCGAACTTTGAGGGACGGGGCTGAGGGCCGGGGCGGACTGAGGGGCGAGGAGGAGCTGAGGAGGGAAGCTGGCCGGCGGGGGCGGGGATGGCATGGCCTGTCCGGCGGCGACGCGGCAACCCTAGCCGCTGCCGCGAAGATGGTGGGGCGGGGCGAACTGCCGGGCGGGGAGGGCGGGGCGGACCGGGCAAGGGAGGCTGGCCGGCGAGGGCGGGGGCGGGCTGGCCGGCGGGGGCGGGGGCGGGGCGGCTTGAAGCTCCGCTGCCCCGATACGGTGCGGGAACTGGGAGACGAGCGAGCGGTCGGGTGCTTTCGCTCGTTTCGGGGTCCTGGGCTGAACTACGGGGTGGCATTTTGACCGTAAATACGTAATACAATAGGGGTACAACTATACTTCGAAACGTTTTCTTTGATGGGACTTGTCAGAATCCAGAGATTGTGGGAGAAACCAGGTATTTTGGGATTTTGGGATTGCACTAGGATTCTGGAGAATCCTATTGAGATTTTGGAAGTTCATTCGAATTCTTTTCGCTCGGGATTTTCGAGACCAAGATTCTTCATAATCTGCTCAAAAGAACTGGGCCTATATAGCTGCCTGCGTGCGAGTTCTTGAGAGGAAAAAAAAAAGAGCGTGCATAGGCGAGGTCGATGGCGCGTGGGCCGGACCGAAACGAGGACAAGACCTGGCCGGATTCGCCGGCCCGTGGGTAAACTTGCCAGAAATTGCTCCAGCATCGCGTATCCACCGCACACGCCGGGCCGGAGGCTTTCGCGCAAACTTCCCGCGGTTCCCATTTCCACGAGGGGAGCCCAACATCGGTAATAATGGCTTTAACTCGTTTGCTGAAACCGGAAAGACGTGTGATCCACAACAACGGGAATCGGAATCAGTCTCGAGTCTCGACAGCGTAGCCGCGTAGGGGTGGCGTGGTGAACTCGAGGCCCTATCCTATGCCGTGTGCTCGTGGCCGCCAGATTAGCGTCTCGCTCGTACGAAACCGGTGGTGCCGTGCCTCGGTTTTACTTGAAAAACCGCCGCAACTATACCACCTAACTAAACATGTGGCTAATCTAAACCGCCGCAACTATACCACTTATCATTCGTCCGTCTCAACTAAACATGTGGCTAGGGTTCTTGCCCCCTGTCGACGACGGCGCTAATCTGCCTCATCTCCTGTGGCCTTGGGGCCATGTAGCGCGATGCAGAGGCGGACCACGAATTTTTTTTAAGATGGGGCGAAGTCTCACTAAGATTTTTTTTTATGCGAATCAAAGGAGTCAATACACACTAACAATGCATACTACAAATGAATAACCAAATACAATAAAAATGTATAATGTTTCAAAAGAAAAACAACCTAAAACATACCAATAATGCTTATAATGGCGTCTAGAAGATCCAGGCAATGGCAGTGCCCTACCCTTTTTCTGAAAATCTTCCTTAATTTTAACAAGAGCATTCTTTTAAAGATTTATCACTCAATGTAACACATCTTCCTTAATTTTACCAAGCGGACATGATAAATATACCTCTTCCTCCTCTTTCCTTTGCATTTGCTGGTTCTTTCCCCTTCTTTTCCATCTTATGGACAGAAGTCACAGAACTGCGCCGGCTGGGCATCTTATTAGCTTGTATGTATAATCATCTAAAAACAAAAAACTTGTGTGTACACTAGCATGAATGAAAAATATAATTGTATAAACAAAGTGGTAGTGGCTGCAAATAGTTCAGAGCAGAGGAGTGATTCAAAGTTTCAAACCCTGAGAGATTACCAGCAAAATCCTCAACTATCGTCGCCCGCTGGAGCCGCTGCTTTTTGCTGCCGTTGGAGCTTGCCGCCGCCGCCCTCTAAGCCCCCAGCCAGCCGCTGTCGTCCGGCCGTCGGCGGTCGCCCACGGCCCTCCTCGTCCTCACGACCTGGCCAGCCGCCGCCGCCGCGCTAGCTGCTTAGGGTTGCGTCGCGGCTGGGCGTCGTGTCTCGTGTGCGTGGGCGCTGGATCGATCTCGACCGGTTGTTACTAGCCCAAGTGCCCAACAGCTGGATGCATCACGTCGGCCCATCAAGCCAGGCTGGCCAGCCCTGGGTGCGGTCAAACGAGTCAAGCAATTCATTCAAGTATCGATCGATAGATGCATATGTATATATATTTTTTTACCCAGAAGTACGGTATGGCGGCTGCCATACCCTGCCCATTGGGAAGGTCCGCCAGTGGCGCGATGGATCCTGGACCTTGCCAGTGGGAGGGTTTCGATTTAAAATGTTTTTTTAGTTTGGTGTGTCCTGCTCAAGAAGATGAGATGACGACGGCTTCGTGAAGATGCAATAAGGTTCTCCCCGCCTAGCCGTTGTTCCGGTGGTGCGCCTAGCATCGTCGAAGGGCACGCGGAGGTGTGTCTCCGATAGATCTTGCGGGATTCGGCCAGTGGTTGTCTTTGATGGATCTGCTCAAATCTATTTCTCACTCGCCCGCGTTTATGTGTCTACAGGTTGGATCCTTCCGATCTACGCTTTTATTCATCGGGGCGACGGTTGATGTTCTGGTACGTTAGATATGTTGGGCATTAGCACAATGGCTTCCCAACTGTCTACCATAACAAGTTTTCCCCGACTCTGATGAGGGTACGGCAATGACGGTGGTGGGCCTTCGGCTCACTTTAGTACTTTAGTTGCTACTAGGTGGTCTACGAATTTTGGATGTAATTTTTGTTATTTTTCTGGTGTTCGTTGTATCGCCATTATCGATGATGATTAGATCAAAAGTTTTCTCGCAAAAAAACATGTACATAGCAGATTCTTTTACAATTATACCAGGTTTAAACTTGATTTGCAGCTCAAGAACACAAAAAGGTAGATTTCGTTTTGAAATGTATTAAATTCAAATTGGGCTATAAATTAGCCCATATACCACTATTAGTAGAACATAACATGCCCTTCCTGTTTCTTTTGACGTGAATGGAATTTTTCTTTGATCAAAAGACCTCATGGTTTCTTTTGCTCCAATGAATCTTTTTTTATCAAAAGGCATCATTTAATGTTTTTAATCCATTCACATCGAAATAAACTCTAAAATTATTGAATCGTAGTAAATTTATGTTACATACATGTGCTGCATTTTTTCATTCTTTCTTCTCAAATTTAGTGAGGTTTTCCCGGTGGAGCCTCGTTTTGGAGGAATATTATCCCTGTTCTCCCACGAACAAAACACTGGCACTAGTTTCTTTTAGGGCTTTTTGAAACTAGGTGGGATAACCCAGCAACCAAACCCATCGTCTACTGGGCCGGCAATACCGACAGTCCCTACCTGATGGAAAATTGCGGCCCGCATAGTCATAGACCGTGTCGTGTTCTCTCGTTTGGGCCGCGACGAGGCAATCTGCCAGTCTGTACGGCACCACGCCGCTACCACCAGCCAAAAAAAAAAAACCCAGCCGCGGCCGCCGTCGCCTGCCTCGCCGATGGCCGCCGCGCCGTCGAGATGTCTCCTCGTCACCGGCCCACCGGTAAGCAGTAACCCCTCGAACCCCGCACAAAACCCTCCTCCCGCCTTGCCAAGCGCCTAACCACGGCCTCGGTCGGCCCGCCGCCGGTGCTCGCAGGGCGTGGGGAAGACGACGCTGGTCATGCGGGTGCTGGAAACCCTCAGGTCGTCCCACCCGCACCTCGCCGTCCGCGGATTCTATACCCGTACCGCCCCCCTCCAACTCCGATCTCCGATTCGTTTGCCCGTGCGGTTTGCCCCCAGAGATTTCACTCCCCGTCGTGCTTTCTGTTTGCAGGGGAGGTGAGGGAGAATGGGGAGAGAGTCGGGTTCGAGGTCGTGACGCTCGACGGGCGAAGCGGACCGCTTGCATCCTCTAGGATTTCAAGGTTGCCCTCAGCTTGCCTGCCCCTATGCTTGATTTGAATTCCTTGGCTAGCATATGCACGGCAATAGATTCTTACACTCGAGTTAACTGCATCTAGTTTCAATAAACTTGCTTGCGGTCACTGTTAAAATCCTTGTCTGATGGTGCACAGAGTTCTCTCTCCAAGTGATGGACCATTTCAGAACTTCCTTAAACCTGTCTATGTTGCACTTTTAACACTTGCCTACATTTCAAATGCCGCTGATGGTAGAAGAATGCCTCCTGACACCGATATTCAGCTTGTTAGGCCACTTGTTTATGTCTCGGATTTGTCGATAAACATCTGATCTCCAAACTCAATTTTATGTGAGACTAGTTAATGCCACTGCCAGTAATCTCAAGCATATGGTAGATTTTGGCTCTTCTCATTTTGGCACACTCCTGCCATGCAGAGTAACAATTAGGTAGAATACATAGCTCAAGAAGTATCATCTTCACATAATTTTGCGTCTTTCCGTGTCTTGTTTTCTGTCATGTTACTGTATAGCTTCTAATCAAGCTCAGTGAAAAGGTTTTAGGTATGGTCTCTGTTAGATAATTCGTAGTTTATTTTAGTGCTTTGTTGATTATATCCTTATAGATCACTCATTGAACTATTTTATCTTAGTGATAATGGCATCTAAGTTTGTGGTATCTTGCAGCCCTGAGTCTGTTAGATGGCCTACTGTTGGGAAGTACAAAGTAGATGTAGCATCTTTGGAATCGCTAGCATTGCCTGAGTTACAGGTAAGCAGTTCCGAGATATTTCCCTGACCTTAGTTCGAATGGTAGGTTGCTAGTTTGTTCATACATGCCAGACATGTGTGATAATCATGAACCCAGGATTTAGACCAGTCTGTCAGATCACTGTTTACTATCGAAATGTAGCCAACAGCTTTATATTTCTTGTTGATTTATCAGGTCAAAGAAGATACAGATCTCTTCATCATTGATGAAGTGGGTAAAATGGAATTGTTCAGTTCAGCATTTTTCCCTGCTGTGATGAGAGTTATGGAGTCCAACATCCCTGTGCTGGCCACCATACCACTACCAAGATATGGCCGAGACATTCCTGGAGGTACCATTTTTAACAAATTAGGAACTTGACTGTACATGATATTGTATAAAGAGCATTGCATCGATTGTCTTTTAGTACCCGGTTCAGCCATGGGCACATTTTTATAACGATTGCTACAGTGTACCCAAGTGTGCTATGTTACATATATAAGAAATTAACAGATATCTCCAGCATGGGAGCAAGATATATTTTTACCACCCCATGCTTTTCGTAGACGCATGCGAGTCAATCTTCTGACTATGGTCTCTCCTTGGGTCGTGACTAAAACATTCTCCCCTATAAAATGCAGTTGCAAGGTTGAGGAATCATCCTGGAGCAGATGTTTTCACCTTAAATACTGGCAACAGGGATACCATGAGAGAGAGTATCTACAATCAGTTGAGCAGATTGATGCAGAAGAGGTGAATACCTGAATTAGAAGCAGATTGGAGAAGTTTTTCTTGCCTCAAATGCTGGTAACAGGATACAAAGAGAGAGTGTATGTACAAGTCAGTTGAGCAGATTGATGCAGAAGAGGTGACATGCTACCCTTTTATTGTGATGATTTTGTTAGTCTTGGCCTCTTGGGTAATGCAGAAAATTACATCTTCCTTTGAGCAAAAGAAGGTAGAACATTAGAGATTTTACTTCAGTAATAGCCCATCATTAGCTTGTAACATACAGTTATGTCTTCAAGTGGTGTACCTGCATGACTGAGTCATCTTTTGTATGTTCACTGACTATGGATAGACCACTCGGCAAGCTATTTTCGTGTACGTCGCTGGTTAATCTGAATATATAATAAGCATTTCAATTTTTGCGGGTTTCCTTCGGTTCTTCAATCATGTATACAGATTCAATCACAGCAGTTATAGCTTGTAATGAAGCATGTGGTAACTTCTACAACAAGCATCACATGATCTGCCCAAGTTTTACTAATAGGCCATCATTGTTTTGCATATAGTGGGCACATGAATGATAACTCCAGCTTGGTATTCCCTTCCCCACTGTACATTTCATATTATTTGGAAAATTGCTTGCTATTGTTAGTTGTTCATGTTGTTCTTACTCTTGCACTGTCTATGAAAGATGGCCAAGTTGCTGCCTAGATGAATAATAAGAATGCATATGACATAACTTGATAGAGACACTTAAATCACATCCTCGCGATAAGAACTTATGGCTTCTCCTTGTGAGAGTTTGGAAGCACTAACGATGATTGATAATGACCAATTTACTGTGAATATTTTGAGATGATTTAGGTCTATTCCTGCGGGAGGTTCCACGTTCTATTATTTCAAGGTGTTTGTTAGACTCAAGACTGGCCAATTAGTATAACCGTTTTGCTTATTCTCACTGTCTTGGATCTTGTGTAAATCTTAGTCACCCAAAACTGCATGCCATTTAGTCTGATCTGCAGAAACTGTTCGATTTTATCAAACATAACTGGTCTCTCTGATCTGTATAGATTATAAATGAATCTAGGTTGGGATGGTGGTTTAGACATATGACTTATCAGGCACTTTAATAGGCAATCCCTTAGTAGGTTGGCAATCAAAATAAATCTTATGTGAGATATGATTTCTGATTATGAAGTACAGCACATGCAGATCCCAGTCCATCCATTTTCTTTAAAGAGCAGACTGGTTTTATATCTCAGAATCCAGCAGCAGCAATCATGCACAATGATCGCGCCTATAAACAAACTGGAGTACAACAAGTTTGATATATCAATTCCGTAGTAAGATGCATGTAAAACCCGTGCATAGGTTACCGTCTGACGGGGCAAAGAGATGATTGATGGGTTCTTGCCCCTACATTCACAATTGTTCAAGAGTCTGCTGGACCACTACTGCTCAGACACCTTGTAGTGCAGTATTGCTTACCCCAGAAGCAGGCAGCAGCTTCACATGAAAACATGTTGCTGTGGGGGCTCTCCTGATCTGAACGATCGGCGGGAATTTTCACCGGAAGATGCACGAGCTATTATTCATTGGGGTGGGCACAGAATTAAAGTGTGCTGTGCTGATCATGGCTTCCCCTTTACAACCTAGGAGACCCGGTTCCCCTTTAAGCCCCTGCAGAAAGACGCCATTAGACGCCAATGCTCCGAGTCTGCTTGCTTATATTAGCAAATTGCAAGTGATTCGAGGATCATCTCGGTTGATTTTTTTATGGTGGTGTTTTAACTATTGGAAGCTCCTTTACACTTGTTGGCAGTGCTTTTGAAGGCAGAAAGCTCAAGGCAATCTTGAGAGGGATACGGCGGCCCATCGAGATATGCAAAGGTAAGTGCTTGTACATGCAGATCTATGCGTATGCAGAGTTGCGGACCGGATACATGCGCCATGGACGCAAGATGGAGCTGGAACAACCGAAGAGGGCTCCACGGACAAATCTACAAAGGTTAGTTGAACGAACCTACGAGCCTAATTATCAAGAAAATTCTCGTACCGTAGCCTTGAATTCATTCTCTCCGTAAAAATTGAAGATGAAGAAATAATCCTCAACTTGCGAACTCATAAACATTTGCCGAATTCTGTGTGTTCACATACTGTTCTGCTGTTAGGATAATGTCACTGAAGAGTAGATAGAGTAATCTTTGGTTAACTTTTGGCCCGGGTCGACAGCACAGCGATCGCCCTATCGCCCTTGGCTTTAGGCAATGTGGGCTGTGGGTGTGGGGAGGGGGTGGTATTGATTCGATGGGGCACCCCACCATGTGATGTCTTGATCCAGGAGGGTCACAGGGTTAACTAGTTTATAAGCTCCTCTCTCTCTCTTTTTTTTTGCTGGGTAGGGTAGTTTATAAACTCCAGCATGGATGTGGCATGATTTTCCCTGCCCCTTTGCATGCTTAGATTAGTAGGGAGGAATGATGGCCGTGCATGCGCGCACGTCATGCATTTGATAACCATAGCCCCAACCAAACTAAACAAAACAGAAAGAGGTTCGGTCTTCCTACCGAAAGCACCGGCTGCTGCTCATTTGTGTATTTCACAGGGAATGATGCTTGGTTTGATCTCCCCATCCATCCCTGTTTTTCTTTTCCTAACATCTCTCAATCAAATGCCATAGAATTTTTATTTCACACTAGATTGTGGGTGGCGTGTGTGGAACCGCAGTATCTGTGTCAGTTGGCAGTAGTTGGGTCAGATGGATACATGTAACATGTATATTGAGCAGAGAATTAACGAGGAGGCGACCTTGAGAAACAATAATACATACAGGGCAGGCATATGATGCCCACTACTGCATCATGGCGATCATACCACGCCATAATGGACCATTCCGATGTAATGTACACGCCCCATTGTATTATCATCACTCACAGCACGCACCGGCCGGCGCTGGCTTTGGCCAGTGGCAGCCGCTAACCAACTAACCAGCCCAGCCAGCCACATCCATCAGACCATCACTAAGCTGGTAGTAGAACTAGTAAACAAGCCGTAGAGTAGACAGTTGTTGGCTGCTGACGCCAAGCCGGCCGGGTCAAGGCAGGGCAGGCGCATGTGCGTGCGTGTGCGAGGGACATTCCGGCCACGGCCAGTGAGGCGAGGCGACGCGGAAATCTCCCGCGCGTCGCCGTCGCGCGTGGGGGCACTGGCGCATGCACGACACTGGTCCGGCCGGTCGACGGCGTGGGGCGTGGTGGCGCCGGTGCTGCTGTACCCCTGCCGGTCGGGGAGGAGATCGCCATTGAATTAATGAATCGATGCGGCCGGTGCTCGGCGGCTCCGGCTGCGCGGCCACCAGCAGACAGCCGTGGTGACGCTGCCTCTGCCGCTGCCACTTCGCCTCGATAGACCTGCTGGTAATATACGTCTGGTGCCGCGCCTAGGATGCGATGCGTACGCTCGCTCGCGGCGAGGATGGGGAGTGGCCTAGATTGTTGAGAAGGACGCAGGGCACATGTAGTTAGGCAGATCGCGTGTGTGCGTGTCATCGCCATCAAAACAATCATTTGTAAGCTGTGGACACACGGTGCAAGCTAGGGATGATTACCGCGTGTTCCACCCGCCCAAATGTGGCCATTTCCCTAAGCTGGCCTTGGCGGATCTGCTGTACGGCTTGGGGTGCCAGGAACGATTCTCCCGCCTTGTATTAATATACTGTTAGTCTGTACTGGAGTATTAACAAAAGATGGGAGAATTGGTATTAGTAGTAGTACATCTCATCCAATTCCCACATGACATGGTCGATTCTATGATGGCCAGCACGCACAGGGCTGTCCGGAACGGAAACGGACGAGGAGGAGGCAGCAGCAGCAGAACGGCGCCAAATGGAACGGCCTCCGCTCGTGCGGGCCGGGCAACGGAAAGCGTGTGGTTGCCGCACCAACCACTCCTACTCCTGGCTATCTAGCCAGCCAGAGAGGGAGTCCTCGCCGCACCAAGCTGTTCTCTCCTCTTCAATCAATAACATAGTAACACTGTTATTATTAATCCCTAAAAATTTCAGCATATACTGTTAAAAATAGCGCCAGGGGGAATCTCCCCCGGCATCCCTTGAAAACGTCCAACAGGTAGAGGCTAACAGCACGGCGGCCGGAGAAAATGGCAGCACCATGGCAATGGCGTTTCCGATTATCGTATACGTAGTACTCCTTCCGTTCCAAATTACTTGTAGTAGGTATAGATGTTTCTAGATGTATTTTAGTTTTAGATACATTCATTTCTGCGACGAGTAATTACGAGTAATTTAGAACAGAGGAAGTAAGTTAGTAATTACAGAAGAGGGTGGGAAAGCTAGCGAGCGAGGCCGAGGCTTTCGCTTTCCCGGCTGTTGCTTTCCCTCCCGCCCCGTCCCGTCCATGCATATGCATGGGCTCCTGTCCCGCTTGCCGCCACTACAACTACCGCCATTCATAAGCCTCGGGCAGGCTCGCGTAGCGCCATCTCTTCTTCTCTTCTCCTCCGTGGGAGCTAGCTAGCATTCTTCGCTGACCCGCCGGCGACGGGCGGCCGGCTAGCCGTGGTTCGCCCGCGAGAGCTGCGCGCGGCGAGGTGGCGTAAGTACGCCGGCACCGGGAAGATCGATCCCTTGGATGCTCTTCTTGCCGGTTCATCGGTTCGTTCCTCGTCGACGATGCCTCCTGCTTCTTGGTCGATTCTTCTTGTTTAGCTAGCATTTGTTTTAGTTTTGCGTCCGGTTCGTTGCTTGTGCTTGGAGGAAATGCGTGCGATCTGCGTGCACGTGGTGGGGCTCGGCAGCTCAGCTTCCCCACCACCCACGTTGACGTCTCCGGACCGTCGCCGTCCTCCCCTGTTCATCTCCTCCTCTGCTTCCTCTCATGAATCTGACTAGCTTATTTCTTTGGAGAATTCCTTGCTTGTTGAATTTTGTTTTCACGCTTGCAAAAATAAACAAAAGATCTTTGGCCAATTGCTCTCCAATTTCTACTAGATTACTCTGTAATTTTCCTCATGAGAAATCTCTACTAGATTACTCTGCCCGAGAAGAAGAAGAAGAAGAAGAAGAAAATTCAGAGTATGACATGATTTCCTGCAAAATTTTACAGGATATCGAGGTCAATCCCACCCGGCCATCGGAGATCCTAGTAGCCTCGCCACCGAAGCAGACTGCTGGATCTCTCTGAAAGTTGTGACCATGATGCAGTACCTGGACTTCTCCCAGGCCAGCACCTCCAAGAAGTGGACGGCCAACAGCAGCAAGAGGCAGCCGGGCCAAGGTACACACTTGCTGAATTTTAGAATCCGATCATTTCCAGATACCTTTGCACGCCATTTTCGTTGGTGGTGACAGTCCTGGTTCGTGATTGGGTTCGCAGCAAGTTTAATGGATCGTGGTTGGGCTTAATTGCAGGGTTCGATGCTCCGAGGAACAGCATGGAGTTCGCCATGGAGGCGCCCCACAGCTACGGCGTCTTCCAAGAGGACGTCCCGGTGAGTAGTACAATCCCTTCCCTGTTCATTCTCTCCATCTGTCAGACTAATTCACTGCATCATTTTCTTCCCTGGCCCCTGTATGCATGCGTCTGGTAAATTATTTTGTTTCCAGAAAAAGGACCTGGAATTCCTTTTTTTTTCTTCTTCATTCCAGTCACAAACATTTCATGTTTCAGTTAGGTGGGTAGATCTTTCTTGACAGATGATATGTATTGTCCGTCCGTCCTTGGCAGCTCTGCTGCTAGGTGTACTTGTACCTGACTGTTGTTGCCCGAGAAGACAGCACGAAACACCCATTAATAATGCTGTCAAACAAACAGTAGACCACCATCTACTGCTGGGCACAATCACGTTGCCCCTTAATTACCTGGCCATTCTCTGCATCATTACTTGCCATCTTTTGCCTCCAATAAGTAGGAGGCCATATGTTGAGCTGCTGGTATTGTTCTTCTAGCTAGATTACTACTGCTTTTGTGGTGTGTCCTGACCAAAGTTTCATGTACAACTCTCTGTAGTACTCTTGCAACAGCATGAGGCAGTACCCAAAATCATCCTCGGCCCCAATCAAGAAGCTGATCCATGAGGACGCGTCCTTCAGGCCGAACGAAGGCCACAAGAGAGTGCCCAGCGTCATCGCCAGGTTGATGGGCATGGACTCGCCGCCGATGAACTCCGAGCTCACCACCCACCTGGATGATGCTAGGCAGGAGATGGTCGTCGCGAGGCCGGTGCCGACCAAGCATGTCTCCTTCGCGCAGCAGAAGAATCCTGTCCGGCATACGGCGAAACAGGAAGTTTACACCTTCGACGACGCCGGCGACGACGAGAGGGACATTCTTGCTCAGCTGACCAAGAGGAGCAATGGTGGTGGAGGTGGTGGTGATGGGTGGAGCAAGCCGGTGCCGCGGGAGCACCCACAGGAGGAGGAGCTGCAGAAGTTCAAGAAGGACTTCGCGGCGTGGCAGGCCAGCAAGGTTTGGGAGCAGTCGAGGGCTCTGGAGCTGGACAGCCGGCATAATGTCGGCCACGACGAAGACGACAGGTGCTCGGAGATCGTACCCTACAGGTACCACCAGAAGGATCGCAAAGGGAGAGATGGCAGGCACGGCAATGACGCGCATTCGAGAAGAAGAGGCAAGGAGGGCGGCGGCGCGTCCATCTCCGGCAGCCGGACGTTCTCTCTGACGAGCGCGGACGACGGTTCTTCCGCGAGGCTGCCGCTCTCGAGATTCTATTACGAGGAGGAGGAGAAGCCGCTGTCGCCGACGAGGATCGTGATCCTGAAGCCCTGCCCGGAGCTGAGCGCCGACGACGTCGACGAGTCGTCGCTGGGCTCGCCGGAGCTGATGAAGAACGAGAACAACATGGAGGCGTTCCTGGAGGAGGTGAAGATGCGGCTCAAGATCGAGCTCGAAGGGCACTTGGCCCCCGACGACAGGGCGGCCGAACGGTGGCCCGACGTCCCCGCCGACCCGAAGCAGATCGCGCGGAACATCGCCGACCAGATCAGGGAGAGCGTCACCAAGGAAATGCACCACCCGGCGCTGCTACGCTCGGAGTCGACGCGGTCGTACCGCAGCAGCGACGTGCAGAGCCAGATGGACTACATATGCAGAGACGCAAGGAAGCAGCTCTCCGACCGGCTGAGGAACGTGCTCAGGAGGGAGCCGGAGGCAGACCAGCCGCCGCCGTTCGGCTCTCAGCGGAGACGGCCGGCCGCCTCGACGCCGTCGTCTTCGCCGTGGGACGAAGAGCCGCGGCCGAAGCCGACGAGTCCGCGGCGCGACGTGGCGAGGAAGGGCGACAAGAAAATCAGGAGCAAGGAGGAGAAGAAGCGCGCGATCGAGTCATCCGAAGTCCGGTCCTTCAGACATGGGTGGTACAAGAACTCCGCTACGGCGGCGGTCGTCGACTCCTCCGACGACGCGGCCTCGCCGAGGAACCTGATGAGGTCGTTCTCGGCGCCGGTGTCCGGGAACTTCGCGAAGTTCCTTTCGGAGGGGGAGCCAAAGGTGCTCGCCGGAGCGCGGGTGCAGCTGAAGCACGAGGGACATGGGGACTACTACGGCGGGCGGCCGTCGCCGGAGGAGGAAAGGCAGCCGAAAGGGAGGAAGGATGCGTTCGGCATCAAGGGGAAGGTGTCCAACCTGCGGCAGAACCTCGGGCTTAGAGCGAAGCTGTTCGGCAAGAAGCTCCACTCCGCCGCCGCCGACGAGTCGTCGTCATCGTTCTTCCTCGACGACTTCCCGCCGATGGGCACGCTGGTCACCGCCCCCTCCGTCCTCATCCACCCCGGCGTCCTGCAGGTGAGGGACCGAACACTTGCTGTTGTTTCAGAATTCAGAGTGAGTGCGATCGATCTGACATGGGAATGTTCAGGAGAACTCCACCGAGGTGCCGCCGAGCCCGGCGTCGTGGTGCAGCAGCCCGCCAGATGAATTGATGATCCGGGGAGGTTACCCGAGCCCCGTCTCGCCGTTGGAGGCTTCCTTCGGTGAGCACCGGTCCCCGTTGAAGCCGGCGGCGAGCTCAAGTGCTTCTGGTAAGTAGTAGCAACTGCTGCTCATGTCTGAATTTACTTCAAAACAGTGTTCAGAGGTTATGTTTCTAACGAAATGTTGTCTCAGAACCAGGCAATTCATGCCTGGAGCAAGATCAAGCTGAAGAAATCCCACAAGCAAGTTCAGCAGTCCAGGACGATGACGACGACGACACGGCCGAGATGGATCACCCGACAAAAGCTTTCATCAGAGCCGTCCTCGTCGTGGCCGGCATGTACGGCCAGAACTCCGGCGATCACCTCTCATTAACCTGCCAACCGATCAAGCCGATCCCCAAGTGGGCGTTCGAGCAAGTCATCTGCTCGACACCACCTCCGGAAGCCGCTTCCGTCCATGACGTCGACCACCGCCTCCTCTTCGACCTGATAAACGAGGCGCTGCCCGGAGCCGCCCGCGGCTCGACGACACTGTGCGTGTTCAGCAAGTGGTACGCGGCGCCACCGAGAAGAGCGTCGGCGGACAAGAGGCTGCTCGACGGGCTGTGGAGATCCGTGCAGACGTGGCTGGAGCCGCCGAGCGTCGACGACGACGCCTACTCGGTGGACGGGCTCATCGGCCGCGACATGGGCGTGTCCCCCTGGAGCGGCGTGTTCCGCGACGACGTCGACGGGATAGCCGAGGAGATGGAGGCGGAGATCCTGTCGGAGCTGGTCGACGAGACGCTGTGGGACGTGCTGCTCAACGTAGGGGACTGACTGACTGACTGTGTGGTTGAGCTTGGTGTTCAGAGCATGCATACTTGTACAGTACATTTTGGGGTGTGTGTTTCTCTCTTCTTCTTGTGTTTCTTCGGAGTGCTTTTGCCGGATTTGTGATGAGATGCTGGTGAGTGAGTGAGTGAGTGAGTGGGAGATGTAACTAAGCTTGTGTGTGTGCGCTTGTGCGTGGAAGGATACCGAAGATATCTGTCCAGAGAAAATGCACAGGGAGACTGAAGATGAAGGATTCTTATTCATGCCATTAGTAGACTGAACAGAGCAGGTAACACTGGTGGTACATCTGAAGCAACAGACACACGGTACGCTACGAGTACGATGGATGGGTTGATCAGGCGGTGCAGACGACGCAGGTGTAGGTGGGGCCGCAGGTGCAGTCGGCCCTGCCGGCGCCGTCGCCGGAGCCGAGCCTGCCGCAGGCGCACGGCCTGCAGGAGCAGTGCTCGCCGCAGGTGCAGGTGGTGTGCGCCACGGCCGCGGGGTTCACCGGCACCGCCCCGCCGCCGCCGCTGCTCTGCTTCTTCCCGGCGCACCTGCCCACACCGACACACGTCAGATCTAGCAAAAGGTACGCGACCCCTCGAGTAAGTAAGCAAGCTACTGCTGGCTGCAGAGAGATTGGAGTCACGGTGGGTGCCTGCCTGCAAGCGGCGCCGCCCGGGCACGGCACGGCGCAGCCGCACTTGTCGTCGCAGGGCATGGTCACGGTCACGGAAGCTGTTGCCTGGCGCCTTTCCTTCCCGGAGATTATCAGTCGGCAGGAGCCTTGCAGGGCGCGCGTGGCAATTTAGAGCTTGCCACGAGCGATGGAGATGGGTGCATGGACGCCAGGTGGGCGCAGCGGTGGCGGCGGCGCGCGCGCTCTAGGTGGTGTCGCCGCATGCCGGTGCCTGCTGTCCTACTACGCCGGTGACAGACAGCAATCTGCCGGCACGGCAGCGCTTCGCTTGCGCGGCACGTGTCGGGACGAAGAACAGTTCGTCCATGCGTTCATGTCCGTCGCACTGCGGCACGACGAACGTACGCGTATGTACGGCTTCGTTTTGCCTCTTCTAATATTGACTTTGAAACTCTTGTAATGAAAGGATTTTCTACATAGTAGTGCGCAATGATCCATAGTTTCATGATTAGAGGTAGTGTTGCTATTAAAATCAATGATGATATTGGCAACTATTTTCAAACGAAGATGACCCAGTATCGCCCATGCTATTCAATATAGTGGCGGATATGTTAATGGTCATGATTGAGCATGCCAAAATTGATGGCCAAATTGATGGGTAGTGAACTATACAACTCATGGTGGTCTCTCTATCCTTCAGTATGCCGATGATACAATTCTTTTCATGGATCATGACCTCGAGAAAGCAAGAAATCTAATTAGTTTTATCAGCATTCGAGCAACTCTCAGAGCTTAAGTTAATTTCCATAAAAGTGAATTGTTTTGTTTTGGCGAGGCTGAAGACGAGGCCCATGTGTATGTTGACATGTTTGGATGCGGGTTGGGCCAGTTTCTGATCACTTATTTTGGGATACCGATATATTATCGGAGACTCACAAATGTTGAATGAAAACACGTCAAGGAGAGGCTAGGAAAAAGACTGAGTAGTTGGAAAGGCAAACTGCTATCTCTGGGTGGAAGGTTGATCCTCATAAATTCAGTACTGAGTAACATGGTACTATATATGATTTTCTTTTTCCAGTTGTCGAAAGGAGTATTACATAGATTGATTGGATTACTATCGATCGAGATTGTTTTGCCAAGGACAAAGAGAGAGAAAGAAATATCAGCTGGCTAAATGAAGTGTGGTTTGCCGTCCAAAGGACCAAGGCGGGTTGGGCATTCATGACCTTGATTAAGAGTAGTGCCTCCCCTCCGCAAATGGTTGTTTAAGTTATTGACGGAAGATGGTGTATGGCAAATCCTCCGAAGGAGAAAATATGTGGGTTCAAAGGCGGCATCACAAGTATACTGCAAGCCTGGGGACTCTCACTTTTGGGCGGGTCTAATGGCAATGAAGAAATGTTTCTTCCACTATGGTTCCTTCTCGATTAAGGGTGGCTCGAAAATTAGATTCTAGAAGGACAAGTGAAAGGATCGAGATGGGCCTAGAGAGGGGGGGCTGAATAGGTACAATTACAAAATTTAACTTACTTAGCAATTTTTAGGCAATAATGTGGAATATGAAGGTGAGCCTAACAATTGCAAGTATGATACTAAGAGCAAAGCAAGCTAAACATGTTGGGGAATGTAGTAATTTTAAAAAAATCCTACGCACATGCAAGATTATGGTGATGCATATCAACGAGAGGGGAGAGTGTCGTTCACGTACCCTCGTAGACCGTTAAGCGGAAGCATTATGACAACGCGGTTGATGTAGTCGTACGTCTTCACGATCGACCGATCCTCAGTACCGAACATACGGCACCTCCGCGTTCAACACACGTTCATCTCGGTGACGTCCCGCGAACTCACGATCCAGTAGAGCTCGGGGAAAAGTTTCGTCAGCATGACGACGTGGTGACGATGTTGATGAAACTACCGTCGCAGGGCTTCGCCTAAGCACCGCTATGATATAACCGAGGTGGATTGTGGTGGAGGGGGCACCGCACAAGGCTAAGAGATCAATCGATCAATTGTTGTGTCTTTGGGGTGCCCCCTGCCCCCGTATATAAAGGAGCTAGGGGAAGGCGGCCGGCCAAGGAGGAGGGCGCGCTAAGGGGGGAGTGTCGTGGAACTGTCACGGCAGATGTCCTTAGTGTCAGGACTTAGTCGCGAGGCCAACGCATCTATGTGGTAGCTTGAGAGGGGTTGAGCGGGACGAGAGACGCGATGTTTTACCCAGGTTCGGCCCCTCACGGTGGAGGTAAAAGCCTACATCCTGCTTCATTGATATTGATGATCATGATCACGGTTACAAGAGTGCTCTATTTCGAGAGCTATTGTCTAAACCTAACTTGTCCAACCTGTGGAACTTGTGAATCTTCTCCCCCTTTTGGGGAGCCCTGCCCCTCCTTATATATGTTGAAGGGGCGGTTTACATGTGGAGTCCTATTAGGATTAGGACTAGTCTATCTCTAATACAAACCGGATACAAGTCCAGGTCTTAGCTCCTTGTAAGATAATATTCCTCCTGCCTTTCCTCTTAAACCGGCCCACCATTAAACGTGAACCGGCCTTCTAGGTTTTGGGCCTTGTCATCTGTCTGTCCCGCACGCCGGATCACCAGTGAGTCATAATGACCAGGTGGGTTGCTTGTAAACCGCCAGGTCAAGGCGGGTCGCCAGTAACTCGCCAAGTGTCAGGGGGTCTTCAGATAATCCGCCAAGTCCGGCCGGGTTAACTTCCGGCCGGTTTACACCGCCAATCATGTAAACCGCCAATCCTCTGGCGGTTTACCAATGAAACGCCTAGTCCGGCCGGATTATACTTCCGGCCGGTTTACGCCGCGGGGTATATCCCCGACATTAGCCCCCAAGTTTAGCTTGGATTTATTCATGGTAAACTTATGCTGCAAAATAAACACAAGAACAAATTTGACAGGTTATGCTCCGGGTTAAGAATTTTTGTAAACCGGTACCTGATCATCCTTAAGTCCTTGTTATTTCCTCCTTCTGGGAAATCCGGGTCAACAGACCAGCTTCATAATCAATTTGCCGACATTGGTTTGTCACCGAGAAATATTGTGAAGAATAACTCCTTTAACTCGGCTCCCAAAGCACCGGTTTAAGAAATACGGGTCTGAAAATACTTATCTGATATTCAGCCGGTTTGAAGATATAAAACTTGCCGGTTTAATATTTACCAAAATGGCCGGTTTATAAATATTGATGGCACCGGGTCATAATTGTTGTCGACACCGGGTCATGTAATTGATCTTCCTGATTTGCTCAAAACTAATAAAATGAAGATGTTTCTCCTTTATATGCATAATGCATGTAGCCCCCAAGTCTTAAGAAGAGAATATAGTGATAATTTAAGACTTGCTCCAATAAGTGTTTCAACCTTGAAGAAATCCGATTAGTTCATCTCAACCATATAAACTAAATACTCCATATATGTAGCCCCCAAGTGCCGGGTTGTCATGCTTGCAGCAACCTGGGACTTGTAATTGCTTATAAAACTTCAATCAGTGTAGCCCCCAAGGGCCGGCTCAATAAGATAATATTGAGCTGGGACTTGATATATTCTTCAATGAAAATAACATCATATGATGTAACCCCCGTCATGGGGCTTGAACCCACGTCCACAAGGTTAAAAGCCTTGTGCTTTACCAACTGACCCGTGGATCCTTCAATAATAGATGAAAATCTGTGTACCTTGAATTGTTGACATGAGCAATTGGTAGCCCCCAAGGGCCGGCTCATTATAATATGATGAGTCGGGTCTTCAATAAGACTAAAAATGACTTGGCATTAGCCCCCAAGTGTCATGATGCATGCTTGCAGCGACATGAGACTTGCATGTAATCTCGATTTGAATAATGTAGCCCCCAAGTGCCGGGTTGTAAGCCTGCAGCGACTCGGGACTATTCCTTTCATTGTAGAATAAACCATATCCATTGATAATATAATCGCCATTGCGCTAAAGCGACTTTGAAAACCTCAATAATACCGGTTATTAATAACCATAATAAAATACAGCCATGTTGGCTATTCAAGATAACATAATCCGGTATGAAAACCTTATTCATTCAACATCATAATGGAAATTCAGCCAAGTTTGGCTATTTGAATAATATAACCCAATGATTTATAAGCGCATGATTCCAATGGCGCAATCCAAATATATATATACTGGCGACTTATAGTCCAAAGCCAGGCCGGTTTAACAAACCTGTTTTTGCATATACAAGTTTAAAGTGTCCTGACGGTTTACCGCCGGACGGGTCATAATGCCCAACATATAACCCGGGTTTATAACCAAGGCTGCCCTTAAGAATAATCAAATATGAAATAGATCATACCTGTGACATTGAATC